TGTATATTTTTTTATATCTCTCTTTCTTATATATATATATATATATATATATATATATATATATATATATATATATATATATATATAATTGCGTCCGTTAATAAATGTATCCACCTGAGTTATGGATGTCTGCCACCACTATAGAGTTACTTTTGTCTTATCTTAAGTTTGGATGTTTTTTTTCTTTATTTTTTGATTGTGGACAAGATTCTCTGACTTTTCAATTAAGCTTTTATTTTTGCATCTTTGCATCCAGTCTGCCTGTAATCAAGTCCTCTGACGTCAACATGGAGACGTTAATTTACATCAAACTATTTTTTTCTAAATTTTTTCCTTGGTGTCTTCTGTCTTCCTTTGTCTTCATGATTCTGCTTGTTCTCAAAATCTGAAGCATTTATTGAACAGATGTCCTTACGCAGATTAAGGTGGACTACATGTAGGACTTGAGTGATTTCTGAAAATGCTGGATTATATTTTTGGCTATACTCATTTTTGAATTAATGTGTGATTTTCATTCTGTTTCATCGCTATTCCTCACTTTGGGCTAGTCTATTGCATAAAATCCCAATAGAATATCATCAAAGTTTGTAATTGGAAGGCAGAGAGGAAAAAAAACAAAAACCTGAAGGTGAATAGTTTGATAAAGGGTGGGTGTCCTGAGATAAACCAGCAGCCAGAAATGGGTTTAACTTTTGCTGCCTTGGGCTCCAAACCTCCAATGAAACAAATGTTGAATATGTTATATAACCCGATTAAAGATGTTCACTTTTTTTTTTCAATGCATGTTTTTGTATCTTCTCCTCTTAAAGACTCATTATTCCATCTGCTAAATTCTATCAAAGGAAAAATAGTTCTGATGAGAAATGCATTTGTGTATCCCTGTGCTTCTGTTGCATGTGCAGAACTCTGATGGAGGATTTGGAAACGCTTGAAACGCTGCTATTAAAAGAACAAAAAGAGCTGGAAGAAAAGATGGAGATCATTGAAATCAAAGAGGTTTGTGTGTGTGTGCATGTGTGTCTGAGCTCAGCTGGTGGCCTTAAAGCCATAAATAAAATGGTTGCATTAATCTACATTGTTGTTTCAAGGCTGAGAAAGCCCAGCTTGCCTGCATACCGAACCGGATAATACAGGAAACCGAAAGAAAGCGCTCGTTATGGGAGTAAGTGAATTTCATTCTTTTGCAATTTTTACATAAGTTACCATCCAGTACTCTAATTTAAATTTTTTGTTCAGTTGACTTGCACACTGTCAAACCTCCTTTAAAGTACACAAGACAAAAAAAAAATCTGATGCTTTTCACAAAGATACAGATTCAACAAGATGTCGCAGTTCCTGCTCCATAGAAGTTGAGTGAAAAAAATAAATGTGAACAGACCGATTTTACATCTGTAGATTCCCATTTGCACCACACCGCCAAACAGAACTACAGAGTAAATACGCGCATGCATGTTTAGTTTGAAACAAGTAATGGACAGCATCCCGTGTCCACAGTTTTATTATGATGGAGGATTTGGAATGCTGCACAAAATCAAGCTCCTGCTATGGTCATCGAAGTCCAAACCTTAAAGTCAGATTTACAAAACCTCAACATGAGAGGGACTTAAATGTGTGACAGCTTACAAAAAGAAAGATGAAAATATTAATAATAAAAGCATTTTTTTTCTTCAGATTTATGTCAAACAAATTCTGCATCTCTCTGGGATTCTTTTGCGTTGCAACGGGTTTGTTGATTCTTTTCCAGTCTATAACTGGATCATTTCCTCTGACTTGGCTTCCAGGGTCTCTGCTTAGTGAGTTTATTGCTTCCAATGTGCCTTATTTTGCTTCCCAGTTTGTTTGTTTTTTTGGAGGTTGCCATAATCTGAAAGCATAACCCGAGTCATGCGAGATGTCACCAGGGCTGAAACTCTATTTCAGCCATGCGTCTCTGGCATTAATTATTTATTTTTCCCCAATTCTAAATTTACATTTGGCTTCCAAGTAAGGCTGGGGACCTGTCTTCGTGAGCATCACAAGCTATGACTTGGAAATTTAAAAAGCTGGAGGATTCCCCGTGGTTGCGTTTGCACGATGACTTGTACAATACACGCTGAAATTTGTTGTATGCGTATTTCCTCAACTCGCTAATTAAAACACCAGAGTGGCAATGAAGGAGATGGAATCGCTGAACACGGCGCTTTCGGAAGCGAAGCATCAGATGAGGAGTGTGAATGAGGATAATCAGTCCCTGGAGGTGAGGAGGGAGGAGGCGATGCTGGAGCTGGAGCGGCTCAGGGCCCGGATGGAGGCGCGTCAGCGGGAGAACAGACAGCTACTGAAGAAGCAGGAGATCAGCAGGGAGGAGTCGTCTGAAATCATGGGCAGCAGGTGGAAACTTTGTTTTCCTTTGAAACTAAAAAGATGAAATATTAACTGTGTTGACCAAAGCGCACTGCTTTATTTTCCATCTTTTTAAATGTTGCAAGATAGTATTGTTCATGTCAATGTGTTGTTTTTTTTGTTGTTTTTCTTTTCCTTTCCAGGGGTATTTTGGAAATGAAGCTGCACAACCTCATGACTGATAGGAAGCAGCTCCACGAGAGCCGATCTTTGCAGCTCCAAAAGAAAAATAAGTAGGTATACCGAATCCATCTCTTTCTTTACGACAAGTAAGGAACTCCTTTTTGTTTCCTTCTGGGTATTTTGCCTTGCAGAGTCGCACAGATCCCACTGAACGTGATATGAAGTCATTGTCTTCCACAGAACACACAGCCTAAAGGTTTTTTTTATTTTTTTATTTTGTATTTCTTAAGTTAACGCCATTATCGTAGAGCAAAACTGAAAAGTCGCCTTCATTAGTTGCTCTCTAATCTGAAATGTAGCTGTTTGTGCCATGGCAGATGGTTCTGGGCCAGACTATCTAAAGCTAAATATGTCTGACACATTTTAAATTTGTATTTACTATAAAAAAAAATTATTTTCCTTCCACTTTGTATTAATAGACTAGCTTGCAGAAGTTTTACATGAAATCCTGAAACAATACAATAAAATATGTGAAAAAGTTATGAACACTTTGGTAAGAAACTGTACTGGCTAGATTATTTTCAACAGGTTGCAGCAAACTAGCTTTAAACAGATGGAGGCAAGAACTGAGTTTCTGTTTTTTTTTTTAACTAAATCTAATCTCTGTTTCCATTTTGCCAGTCTTGTGACGTTTATATCTGGAAGGAATCCATGAACAATATCAACCAGCGATTTTTATCAACTTCGAATTCTTGTGGAAAGATGTAGAAAGTAGAGCCTGGTGATGGATGGAATAAATATTTCAAATGTTGTGGGTTTTTTCCTCAGGCAGGTGGAGGCCCTGAGAAGGATGGAGCATGCCGTATCCATGGCCACTGAGCGGCTAGCGCACACGCAATCCGTCTACAAGAACATACAGTCGCAACTGGTGTGTGAAATATTTTTATGTTTTGCAAAAAAAAAAAAAACAATCTGTGTGTTATTGCTGTGTTTTTTTTTTTGTTTTTTTTGCCCAAATATAGCCTTTATGGAAGACTGGGAAGAAGAAAAGAAGTTCTAATTGTGCATATATATATATATATATATATATATTTTTTTTTTTTTTTCAATAAATAGTTCAGAAAAGATTCCCAGGCTTTGTTACCAAGAAATGCTTACAGTCTTGATTAACTTCGCAGAAAATGCGTATTTTGCCATACGCTGTGAGTATTTCCAGTCTTCCCGTCATTCTACTGCTCAGCAGAGATTTTTAAAGACGAAGCAGGAAGAAAGGATGAGGCTCGGCCTGATTTGGAAATGCATCAGCATATCTCTCGTGCGCAAACTGAATGCAGAGGAAATCGCAGTGACGCAACGGGGAATTCACAGTTCTGCAAAACAGAAAACAAATGTGCTGTACGGAATGATTCAGTCAGTTTTCCCTGTCACTGGCCGTCACTTTCCTGCTAATGTATTAGCGTTATGACCGCTCAGCAGAATCTGTTGGTTTACCACAGGAATGCATCTCATTCTGACCTAACCGGTGACAATTAACGGGCTTAATATTTTCAGCATGCTGCGTTTTTGTTTTAACATTTACGCATCATCTTGATCGGACTCTTCCTGTGGCTGAAACAAAATCATATTGTCGGGAAAGAAAACATGCATGTTGCATTAATATCCCCTTATTTGTGGACTCGCCCGTTTAGGATCAAGGTGACGGTACAAATGAAAACCCTTCTCCAGTAGCTCATCATGCAACCGAATGAAAGCAAAATCCCATCTCCCACTGCTGAGATCCAGGACCAAGTTTAGGCAGATGAAAGATCTCGCATGCAGATGAAATTTTAAACAGGCTCTTGATTTCCACTGTGCTCTGCTCTAAATATTCAGCTGGTTGCCATTCCCGAACGAGAGGCCAGCGCTCGGCAAAGGATGGAGCTGCAGAAGGAGATTGATGCGCTCAAAGCCGGCTTTGAAAAGCAGGTGGGGATGTGTTCCTGTAACGGCAACAGCCTGAAGCGCTCTGAGCTCTGTCCAGGCTTCCCACACGGCTTAGAAGAGTTTGGAATTTCATTTCAGTGTTTTAGTGGATAAGTATAGAAAAAGAAACGAGTGCAGAGAAATATTTGTGTTTCCAGACATCAGTCTCTATCCTACTGCTTAAAAGTTGTTCTTCATTATGTCTGTTCCTTCTTTGTCTCTTACTTTCTTGTAGCAATTCTTAGGGTTCAGTTCTTTCTAGTGTCCCTCTGCCTGTCCTCCTTTGTCCTTTCTTCTTTGTGTTCTGTCTTTTTTTCATTCCTTCAATTTTTTTATACTTTTGTGTCCTTCCTTTCTTTTCACCGTTTTTCTCTCTTCTGTCCTAAAGATGTCATAAAGAAAGACTTTAGCGATTCATTTGTAAAGAAGACATCTTTTCTCCTTCTGTTAATGGGCTTTTCAGACATCTTGCAATTTCACCCAACTGTTCACGAGGCTTTTAACTGGAGAAATGCGTTTCCATCCAGGTTTCTACGGCTGAAGAGGAAAACCAGAAGAAGCATCAGAATGGGGTGATTCAAGAGCTGCTTAGGGAGTCAAATCACCTCAGAGATGAACTCCTTAGCCTCAGATGTCTAACACAGATCAAAGCGGAGGAACGGAGCAAGAAGAACCGGGAACGTCTCAAGGCAGAGGTGCTAACTCACACAGACGAATTAAAATAAATTGGACATCCTTTGCTGTGTTTTTTATATATATTAATCTATTCAAAATGTCAGAAAGGGTACTTTTTTTTATTTATATTGAAGAATGTGCAGCCAGAAGGAGAAGTGGAGTTTCAGAAAACCATAAATAAAACCCACACAGAAGTGATGATGCTGGAGTTTTACCTTCTTAAATCTACCCACAGCAACTGAGCGAGCGCATCCAGCAGGAGCTCAGAGAGAGAGAGCTGATCATCATGAACCACAAGAAGCTCAACGCGGTGCTTCAGCGCAGGTGTTGTTTTCGTTTTATATTCAATATGCGTGTGTGTGTGTGTAAGGATGATGCTTGCTGCAGAGAAAAGCATGTCCTACTAATTGGTCATACTTCGGCGTACCGAACGCCTACAACGCCCCGCAGCGCAACAACAGGCTTCTCCAGTGCATTCATTAAGGTCACGGCACGCAGACTACATACTGATGCCGTTTCGCCCGACGTGGAATAAATCCGTCCCAAAAGCAAAAATGCAGCAGGACAATTAAAATTTTTTTTGTTTATCCTCTCGTGGTTCTCTCATTTAGCGATCGCACGTTCACACGCCGCCGCGTCATACATGAGTTTTAAATTGTAACTGAGTAAGGTGTCATCCTGCGTTAAGATTCTCTTTTTTTGTATAAACAATTTCATGATCCACTGATCATTTGTAATGAATTTGAAATCAAGATTACCTCAATGGTACATTGCCTTATTGGAAAACATTGAGTCCTCAAAAGCAGGGTCTTTTTTTTTCTTAATTCAGTAGTTTTGGCCCACTTTTTTTTTAATGCAAGATGCTATAAAAAAACTTGAACGGGTAAATATAATCATATTTTAGAGCTGAATGATGTGAAAATCTTAAATGTGAAATCTTAAGTAATTTAATTCAAAAAGAAACTTTTCTGACAAAAAACACAAATGTTTAAATAAGAAGCTCACTGAAGCTCAAGAAAAAAAAGAAGTTTGTTAGGAATATGCTTGATGGACGGATGTTTGCTTGTTGGTTACGCTGAAAATTCGGGACAGGAAGTGAGCACTCGTATTTTGTAATCGTCCTCCATCTATGAAAAGTAGGTGGGATTTGTGTTGCTACAGCAACTGTATTGTTTTTGGTTTTGACTTTTTCTCTGTCTGGGCTAAATTGTAAAACTTTATCCTAATTTTAATTTCCCTTCCCTCCACCAAACGTGTAGCATTAGCTTCGGAAAACTTTGAGTCAAACCTCCGCCCCCCTCCCCAAAAGAAAAAACATACAATTCTTGAGACTTTCAGCTGCTTCCATTCACTGTTCCATTGTTGTTTTAAAATAAAACCAGTGGTTTGCTATTGCAGATGCCTTGTAGCTGAATGTAAGCAGACTTGTTGTATTTTTTATTACAATTTTCTCTATAATTTGTCAATCCCCACTGTGGTGGTTTACACACCGAGCTTACAGATGCTTTTCATGTCCTCTGATGGAGTGCTGTTTGAGTCTTTTGAGCTGCTGCTCTCAGCCGGCTCTTTCCCTGAATTATTCTTGCTCACTGCACAAATCACCATACAAGTCTCGGCCTTATGGACTTATGGACCACTCTATAATTCTCTGATGTCTGACTTTTCATGTTCTGTGTGCAACAACAAAGATTTTGCCCATTTTCAGACACATTCATGGACATCCTTTTTTTTTTTTTTTTTTTTTCTTTTTAAATATTTTAAAAAATGGAACGAAGAGAGCCACAGTTCTAAACTCGGCTATAAAAGTAATAAAAATGATATACGAATGGTTTTTAGAACCGTTTTTAATAACCATCACTGGCTAAATATTGCAAACGACTTTGCAGAACAGACAAAATGATATACATCTATATACATATATATTTATATAAAACGCACCCTTGAAGTTGTTTTTGATGGGAACAGAAGCAATGTGCTAAACCTTGTTTTATTTCTTCTTTGTGTGTGTGCGTGTGTGTGTTTTCTTCTTAATTGCTTCTCAGAATATCACAGTATTCAAAACTGTGTGACACGTTCCTGGAAGAGAAGAATAAGTATGCGCGGCTGAAGCAGATTGCCTCACAGACAATCTCCGAATTGACGGAGCAACTTAACATCCTTGCAAACGAGATGGAAATCCAGCGCTCTATTGCTGACAGCAAGGACAGGTGTGTTGATGCGTTTGAGCTGGTGGCCTGCATTTACATCGCTACAGCACAAACCAACAGAGTCATTTTCATCCAGAAAAATTGGCTCTACATATTCAACTTTTGACTAAATTTGTATGGGTTGTTAGAGTTCCAGAAGCCTAATGAAGACCACACCTTCAGGATATTAAATCACAAATAAGTTTATTGGTTTTACTTTGTCGATCAGTCTTAATAAAATGTATCAAAGGTTTAGTTGTGACCTGACAAAATAAATTACACAGATCGTACCTGCTGAACTTTTCCATATCCGTCTGTTTCAGATTGCTGACAAAGGCTCGCATGAAGGTCTCCAGCAGCTCCAAAACGAGGGAGAAACTGCGTAATGAGATCTCTAAGGTCTGCACTCGAACATGAGGGAGAAAAAACAAAAACATCAGGACATCACCTGTCTAAAACTGAAACAGTCAATACCCAACAACGAATATTGAGATTCACAGGAATGAGAGCAGTACAAAACCTCTGGGAGTTTTCTGGGGATGTATCAAAGCCTTTTTTTTTTGTTACTTTCTAAAACTTTTTTTTTTTTTAATTTTCATTTTGAACAGCTTTATAGAAATCAGTAAGCAACTGCAAATCCAGTATTTATTTGTGCCTTTTTACAAGGCTTCCGAACGTTTATCACACACAGGGCAGTTTATAAAAGTTTACCGACTTCTCTGCAGTCTGCTTAACAATCCCAACCCCTCTGGTCTTAAAGCACATTCCTACATCAAGCTGAAGCTGCTTTAACAATTTGTCGTCCAATGCCTATGAAATATATAGTATGGACAAAATCATTCCAGTATATGGCTGCTTTCTAACCAGACTGGAACCTTTTTTTGGCTTTTTGCCTCATAAATGTATACTTAATAAGGGTGAAAAACATAATTCTGTTCCAGTTCACATGGAAACGACACCAAATCCGTCAACGGCATGAGGACAACAAACTGGAGTTAATGAATCTCACCCAAATGATCAAGTTCCACGAGGGGATTCTTCTGGACGTAAAGAGAAGTCATGAGAACGCCATCCAAAGACGCAATTTTCTGTAAGTTTCTAACTCGCACGTGCAGGTAGAAGCAGACTGTCATACTGCACGATCTTATTTCTTTTGCACGCAGGGGGTTACGGCTCTTGGAGCAGGACGGAGTTTTGTCAAACTTTTACGACCAGGCGAAGAACCTGGAGGCGGCCGTCGCCAAAAACTACAACGCAACCGAGACGGCGGAGAAGGACGCAAGAGAACTGCAGATTGAGATTAACGACGAGAAGAGGCAAACAGACCTGAAGAGGAGGAAGGTGCTACTCAAGAGGAAACAGGAGGAGGAGATCATCACGCTGCAAATCAAGGTAGAAAAACTGCAGTGTATAAAACTATCGTGTCTTCTGATCCAGTCGAATCAACAAAAACACTTTCAGGATAAGAAACCGTCACAGGACAGCAAAGGGGAACTGTCTCTTTTTTTTTTGTTTTTTTTTTTTTGCTCATGTCTGGTTGTCTGGGCCTCCATCTGGTATTTTATTATAATAAATGAGCATTTTCAACGGGTTGGTACTATTGAGCCTGTCTGTGCATATAAAGCCTCTAATCAGGGAGGAGTGTGCCAGCAGGATACTGGCATGAGGATGACCATCAGCGTTTCTGGACGCCGTTCAGCTTCATATTTTAGGAACCCTATCAGGGTGCAGTCAGACCTGTCCATTAGCGCTTCCCGTGGTTGGTTCAAACGATGAAGGTTGTTACCGAACCGGATGATTATATACGCAGCGTTTTTCCACCGGAGCTTCTGGTGATTGACGTCTCTGCAAATGTGTTTTAAGCTCTTTTTTTTGTTGTTGAACCTTTTCCTGAATAGTTTTTAGAGGTGAGGGAGGAAAATGAAAGATAAGACCTCCTGCAACTGAAAAAAGTGTAGAGGAAGAGAGTAAGGGGTGTCTCACAGGAGAGCATCAGGTCCTTCAACTGTAACTCCTGCAGGGAGGAATTCCTTTTGGGGCGCCGTCTCTAAATCAGTAAGGTTTGTATCTTTTTTGTCAATCGGACACAAATTGCGAAGTGGAGGGAAATGATTCATCCCACTGCATGACTCATTCAAAAATGTTGCTGCCCTGATTTGAGATTTATTATCTGAGGGGGAAGGAGTGTGTGTCCTGTGTTCAGTTAAAATCCTATTATTTTCACCATGTGACATAAAGAAGCATCACTCTGCTGGTCCCAGACAGACTGGTGCTTGCAGGCCTCCTCCTTTCCCTTAATAAGACCTGACCTTATGTCAAAGACACTGAGCCAAGTTGGCCTGAGCCAGCTGTTGCTCTACTTTAACTGTATTCATTAATCCTTGCAGGTATTTGCTAGTATGTTTAATAGTTGTAAGGTTCTTCAGTATGAAATGGCAGAGAACGAGACTTTCTACGATGTTTCAACTCTTTATTACCTCAGATTTTAACTGCGCCTGGCAGCGACTGCTGTAAAACGAGACGAGTCCTGCATCTTTATGACAATCCTGTCAGTTTTTGTAAAGCCAGAAAATAGTTTTCAACTTTCTCCTCCTGCAATACAATAGGAAAGGTGGTAAACATTTAATGCCAACAGTCATTGCTTATCTTGTAGAATTGACATTTATCACCTTGGTGTAATTCACATAAATATATTATAATATGTTTATAATTCATGTCTTTAAATGCAGGCAAACGGTGCAAGAGCAGAAAAACACGATTTATTTACAAATCTGTCCATCTGAGCGGTTTATGAGTAAAAATACAGGATGAATTGTTTTGCAACTTTACTTTTAGGTTTAAGAATACGTGCAAATATATTCCAATCAACATTAACTGCTCTTTTGAATAACTTTAGCGTTCAGTCCTCTGCTGCCGATGTTTTAGCCTTTTACTCCTGTAGCTTCGAAAAGGAGCGGAAACTTGCTAGCAAAGCTCAGAACGGAGGTGGATGTAAAGCACAAGATTAGAATCTAAGCCAGGAGGGATAAACCCAAACAATCACAGACTAGGCCACAAGATTCCCACGGGCGAGGCCGAGACACACACGTGAATAAATCCCAACATAGAGAGATGAGACGGATACACACGTCCTGATACATAACTGATGTTTCCATCGAGGGTTTGCTTCAGATCAGAGTTTCAAATTTCTCAAATGCAGGTGTTTTTGCTCTTTGGATGAATTCAGATTTCAGCGTCTGCTTCTTTTCTCCATCAGTTTTTGGCTTTTGCTGTTGGTTCCACCTATTTTTGTTGCTGAAATATATATCTACTTTCTTCTACGTAGCAATTTTATTGCTTTTATTCTCGCTTTGTACAATGCTCCTTTCCTCTCTTTGAGGCGTTTGTTCAAGTGGAAGTAGCTTCATCTTCGCAAACCTATTTCACTTTTCATGGCCTGACCTTGCTCATATAACAGTCCTCAGTTTTTTTTTTTTTGTTTTTTCTTTTTCCCTCTCTCCCTGTTTTTTTGTTTGGTTGTTTTTTTGTTTTTTTTCAGATAAACTGTCCTTCAGGTTTTTAATGCCATTTTGTTAATTAATCCACTTCTATGACTCCACCTTAAAACAAATCTCTGCTCAGTTTTGACTTTGCTGTCTCAGAAAGAGGAACACCCTAACTTAATCTTAATACGACAAACTTAAATGTATTTCACTGGGATGTATGGAAGTAATCAAATTAAAAGTAGCATGCATTTACATTCTGCTCCTTTTCCGTCAATTCATCTACATATTTTAATCCAGTCAGTTGCCTTCGGTCAAACTGTTGAATGAATTCAATTATACTCCACTTTTTGTTCGTCTAACAAACGACGTCTGTGGCATAACCTCGCAGTTCAACAGGGTGTGAATACTTTTTCCAGGACTGTGATTCACGCACCAGTTGTTTATCCCTCATCCATTTCGTCCGCCCATTCATCAGCTGTTGGCTCCATCCATCAAGCCATCCAGTCATTTATTTTTCTCCTTCTCTTCTGTGTGTAAACAGCAAATCATTTTCTCAATCACATCCCTTCCCTTGTACAGCCTCCCCTGGGTACAAAAAGTGAATCATGGATTTCTCTTTTTTTTTTTTTTTTGCAGGAGGCTTGCCAACCCCATTCAGTCACCATGTGAATTCAATCTCCATGCGACTGCATTGCCGTCGATTTATCATATATATTGTCTATTTGTATTCATCTGTGACCAGTTTATCTGTTCATTGCAGATGGACCCCCCCCTCTCTTTGATGGAGAATTTTGACAAAGATAAATTGGGCCATCTGTTATACTATTGAAGTTCAATACACTCTGAGGCTTTCATCACTCCGAGGAATTTTAATTGCTGCAAAAATAAACAGAGGTTGTTGTCTGCCTCTGAATTTACTGCCCCGTTTACGAGACGCTGGCAGGTTGACATCCCGTACAGGTGCGCGCTCGCAGAGCTTCGCATGCGGCTAAATTTTGCTAAAACTGTTGCCTAATGACTAGTTACACTCCGCTTCTGCTTCGTGGTGCTGCGAGAGTATCAGACGTACGCGCACACACACACAGTCATTAATGGAGTGAGATTTATTTGAAGGTGGGGCTACTGACAGACTGCAGCGTCCCCGTGGTGGTGAGTCATATTGTTTGTTTGTTCCTCTCTTAAATCTTTTTTTTTTTTTTTTTTTCCCCAACATTTTTGGAAGTTATCGCCATGGGGAATCCCTGTGTGAATTGTGGCTCTGCTGGATGTGAGGGGACTTTTATGTGACAGGTTAAGGGAAGCTAGCAAAACCGAATGCACAGAAACCGAAGGCCCAAGAAAAACATGTTGTGTAGAACCTCCTCTCTCCACCCAAGAGCTCACCTCTTTATCTCTGAAGTCTTTTCTGTCTAACTAGTTTTGAGATGTAGGACAAAAGGAGTAGATTGATTTTTCACAAATTAAACCTTTAGATTCCAAGTCGGATTTAAGATACAGTGTCTTGCAAAATATTCCTACCACTTTTCATGTATTTCTTTTAAACCTCCGCAAGAGCAAATTGCAGCTTATCCCGTCTGGGTTTTGCATTGTTACACCAGCAAAAGGAAGTGTATAATTAAAAAATGAAAATGATTTGTTTTCATTTCTACAAAAAAATTCTGACAACTGTGCCATTCATTTAATATCCATTCCCTCCTGAATCAATACTTTGTGGAACAATCTTTTGCTGCAATTTCAGCTGCAAGCCTTTTGGGATATGCGCATAACCGGCTTTTGTGCGCAAACCTACAGAACACTTTACCTTTTCTTCTTTGCAAAAACACACAATCAGATTGAATGTGTGTGTGTATTCCCAAAGATGCTCAAACAGATGAAGGTCTAAACCATTTGAACATATAAATATGCTTGAATGTAACTTTACCATTTTAACTCTGGCTATATGTTTAGGGTAAAGGTTGGTGTTTTCCTTTGAGAATTTCTTTATTATGCTTTATATCGCTTTGGTCTGTCACACAAAATCCCAATAAAACTCATGCAAGTTTGGAGTTTTAACGTGATAAAATGAGGAAAAAGCTCGAGGCATGTGAAAATCACACTTTAATTTCCCACTAGTAGCTGAGCAATATAGCAATTTAGACCCAGCTTAGTGTCTCTGTTACTCAAAATCCAGACTGATCAAGGAATTCAATGAAAAACACAACCTGTGATGTAGAAAATAAATCAAAGCTGAAAGACTCCATCTGTTTATTTTTCCTTTGTTTTAACAATTGAATAAGAAAAATAAATGATTAAACCAAATGCATTTTTCTAGACTGAATAGCCTTGATTTGATTTGAATGAACTCGTAGACAAAAAGGAGAGACTAATTGAAAGTGCATGATGCTGCTCATGGTTGTGTGCCATCGGAGCGCTCCGTCATGAGTCTAACTCAAACCGCTCTCCCTCACACCCACTCACTCTGACACCTCAGCAGGGATTGCCAGATTAATTAAATATGCGAGCCTGTGGACTGTGGGAGGGAAGAAGTAGCCCCCGCAGAAAACTAATGGAAGTATAAGAAGAACATGCAAACTTTCCACAGAGACGCCCCATCTGACCAGGAGCTAGAAAAGCTTAGAAAGTGATACTAGGTTGGCTGGCACTGCAGTGCTGTTCAGATCAGATAAGAGAATCAACACAAATACTATGCAACATTTATGGGTTAGTTGACTCTTTTAGTTTTATCTTTTCTTAGTCTCCTTTTCCCAAGATCCTCAGCTACTTGCGTTGATTTCTATTTAAACATTGTCACACGTTTTTTTCCTATATAGCCCATTTCATGTTCAGAAAGTCAAATATTCTGTGAAAAACCTTCCTGATGCTGCACATTCATGAATATTGCAGCAACAGTTAAAATGAGATCATACTTTCAATTTTTTTTTTTTTTTCTTTCTTTCCCATATGTTCCCAACAGACATTGTGCGCCTACTGCAGGTTTACTGCACCGGATTGTCTAAAAGTAGAACAGGAGGCAAAACTTTTAGCCATCAGGTTGTGGAAGTAGCTCCTAGTTTTAGTTTGTCATTCAGATTTCCTGTCAACTTAAGACCAAGCTTAAAACTTTCCTATTTGATTGAGCTTTTTGTTGGGGGGGCCCCCCCCCCCCCTCTACTCTCCAGTTATTCAATATCTGCAATAATTTCTGCCATTATAGTAGCTACTAGCAGCAAAATGGCCGCCATCACACTTATGTTTAAAAATGTCAACTAAATTTGTCCAGACATTGTAACTTGACTTTCACATTGTGTTTACCCTTATGAGGTAAGTTATCCTTTTATCAAACGTGTTGCTGGTGTGACCCTTTCTTCTGTGCTGCCCTGGGCAAGTGCCCATAAGGCTCACATTAAATGGGAAATGCTTCCTAACGTTTAACTTTGTCTTGTCAGCACTTTGGACAAATCAAATGGAGTTTGTTTTTGAGCATATCCACATTGTAGTGAGGACTCTTTCAGTCGGTGATAGGTTGTTCTTGAACAGCCTCTCCAGCTTCCTTTCGTATTTAGGTGACTGCATTGGGTCGAATGGCTGAGACTCGGGCACAATATGGTGCTGCAGAAGGATAATGATCCGAAACACTTCTGAAAAGCATAAACTAGGGTACATTAAACTTCTGGACTGACTTTTACATCCTTAAACCGAGTGAACATTTGATGAATAACATTAAAAGTCAGTTTTAAAGCAGGAAACCCATCTGTCCATCCATTATCTTCCACTTATTCCAGGGTCGGGTTGCTGCAGCTTGGGCCAGCTCCTCCGGGGGGAAACTAGTTTTATTAATCGTATCAACTCTGCAAAGAATTTCTCGACAGAACAACTGCCTCTTTGTTGGGGATTAGAAAGTGAGAGTTTTGATTTATTTCATCTTCTAACTGCATTATCTGGCACATCCATAGCGCTGAAATTGTACCATTAAAGCGGAGTTATTATGATAATAACTTTGCTCTAAGATTCAGTGATTGCAAACACAGAGCTTGGGAAGCTGTGAATTGTCTGACCACAAAATTTAATTCCTCTGCGGTTCGAGTGCTGACCAAGCTAACTATTGACAATACTTCCTCCATAGAGACTTTGCATCTATTTATTGTTGGCGGTCTCACTGTATATGACCATATTTATTATAATTTATACCGTATTCTGTACATATGTGACCTTTCTGCTTTATTAATCTGTCCCTTTGTCTTTTACTTATATTTATTATGAGGCTCTTAATTGCTCAATCTTGGGACGTGGTTAATAAACAAGGTAATTATTCATGTTTTTGATAACACGTGCAGTGTACCGTCCCATTGTGTGGCTCTTTAAGCCGTTGTGTTAACTACTCGCTGAGCTGAAATTATGCAGACAAAATGCAAATTGGAAAGCGGCGCGGAGGCTGTCATCTCCACGATGTTTTACAGCACACACAGGCCAAAAGCCCAGCAATGATTTGTAACTGTCGGATGAAGAAAACAAGGAGGCAGGCAACAGACACTGACACGGAGACGGATGGATGGATACAAGGAGACAGACATCAAAGGGACGGATGTATATATATAAAAAAAGGGGCTACAAGTGATGGAACTGCGGAGAAAAGAAGATTGATGCGTGAGCAAAGAAAAGAGAATGAGGTTGATGGAGACGCTCTGTATTCCATCCATCATGACGCGTTTAAGTGACTGCGGGTGGATTTGGGTGAGGATGGGACACGCATCAATCAGATCTAACCACACGCTCGTCTTATCCTGGCTGCTGATGAACTGAAGAAGTTGAGCAGCATTAAAAGCATCAGAGCAGAGTTTAAAATGGTTGATTAATGTGTCCCGCGGTTGTCGCAAGCAGTTGAGTAAAAAAAACACAAAAAAAACAGCGGTTTTGAAAAGTTGAAAATCCTTATTAGCAACTTTTATTTCCTGTCATGCAGGCGCGCTGGGAACACAACACATTAGACGAGATAAAAGTCGAATTTCTTAATCTATAGAGAGTGACGTAAAATAAATATTAGCCTCTTGAATAAACTGTTGACATGCTTGATGACCTTTTCTCAGGTAGCCAGTCCAGGATTTTTTTCAGTGTTATAAATGAGAAAACTACGACATAGTCAAACCTCGACAAGCTCAGTATCACAAAGTATTTTGTCAGAAATTTTCACTACACTTCACACTCTTGATAACTTTTTTTTTTTTTCTTGGTTTTGAGAAGGGCCTCTTCTTCTGCAAACACACAATCCCGCAGCAATTTCTGCTGACACTTCCCCGTGCGTTGTTTATTTGAGGCGAAGCCGCTGCCTCGGTGTGTGCTCGGTGGTTCTGGGAGGTGACGGTGATGCTGAACTGAAAGGTTGGGCACAGAGGAGAGAAAATGCAGAAGAGTCATTATTAATTTACGTTGCGGCTCGGAACAAATCCCCACAGGCTTGTCTCCATCTATTTATGGTCAAACAGCAAAAGTTAGGGAACAGTGTAAACTAGTAGCTGGAGTTATGTTTTAAAAGAGCCATTGTCTTCCTACTTACTGCCCACCCTTATGTATAGGAATGCATTGATTGGTTAAAGTGCTTCTGATAATGAAAAGTTAGGATTTTTTTTAAGGTTTCCACATTTGAACACGTCTTATATTGTAGAACTTTAAGCTTAGCTAGTGAGCTATCAACTCCAACTAAAATATGTGAGCAAGGCAGACGCTGTAATACAAACAAATGCCTTTTGCTCCTGTGATGCCTGGCTGAGCCCTGTGCAACGACTCTGCAGGGAAGTCCCCTAAAGGGTTTTTTATCTCCCTCGGAAATGGGAAAAATATGCAAAATATTCAGTTATTTGAATAATAACTATGCATTTCTACAACCTGCATTTGCATGTTCATTGGAAATGTTTTTTTTTTTTTTTTTTGCCTTATTTGTTGCAGAATTTGGACTTCACAATGATGAATGCCAAACATACTCGGTCCCACTAACAAGCTTTAGTTGTCCCAAACTGCAGACATGGCCCTGTTCACTTGCATCAGTTTTTCTTCATTTTCTCTCCCTCTCTCTCTTTTTTTAATAAATGGTTCTTCATACCATCCAATCCATTTCTTTTTTTTAAGTCCATCTGCCTCTGTCTTCCTATTCTTTGAGCATATTTTGCTTTTCGGCCTCTCCGCTGTCGACCTCCTCTGTTCCACAACTAACGGGAAACATAATATTGTGTACAATATTTTCTCTCTGATCGTTTTTTTTTTTTTTTTTGGTTTTGTTTCCAACCGGTGTCCTCTTTATTGTGACCGTCATGGCTCCTTGATCGTCTCAAGGTTCATATTCTTTTATTTTGATTGAATGAAGCCTTGTGAATCTGAAATAACAGTTTGGATGAGATATAAAGCTGCAGGTTAAATTATTCCCTTCTTGCACTTAGGTTACAGGTGGAAACTGAATCGTTTTCCTACTTGTTCTGCAAGAAAATGGACTCATTAGTTGATTCTTTTTGCTGGTATGAGGCAACATAGATTTAAGGGTCGGGAGAATGATATTTCAGACTAACACAGATGCAGTATTCTGCAAAATCTATACTTTTTCCAAGTGGTGCATGCATTCCTACTGAATTGCTAGTCTTGTTGACGTATTCAAAAACTCTGGGATTGCCTTTAGTTATTCTTCTTTAAACAAAACCAGGGAGGGAAAAAAAAACAAGCTTGTACCAATTTTTATCTTAGTCGTTTTCCTTTTTGCACATTTTCTTTGTCTGTTTTTTCCTGTGAGTGGGTGCAACTCTGTAAAATCTATAAATCCTCTAAAACCGGAGTAAAATGCACCTTGACAAACTTCCTTTGAATGTTAATGCTGTTCAAGATTTCCCTTCCATCAGTGCAGAAAGGCTGCAGGCTGTTTGGTATAATTAATCTGGTGCAGATAATATAGCAATGTAAACACTTCATTGTGATGTCCTGGCGTCTATTACAGATTTTTTTTTTCCCCCTTCTACTTTTACACCTCAATTTCCTTCCATTGATGTGAACAGTTAACCTTTCAGTCATGTCAGCACTTTTCACCTCCTCCAACTCCGTTTCTCACTCTCTGACTGACTGCAGCACTTTTGGGATGAGAGTGTCAGCTGAGGGCCTGAATCTAAAACATTAACCCGGCCCCACTCACGTCTCTCTCTCTATCTAGCTCCTTTGACTCATCTCACTTCTGCTTGCCTCCCTCTTTCATTTCTGCTGTCTTAAGGAATGGCACGAAACAAAAAAAAAAAAAAGCTTAATCCCTTTCAGGGATCTCGAGGCGCTTTTTAAACTTTATTTTCTCTTATCACTCGTTCCCAGAGACTTGTCACCTTGTGGGGAGAAGCTCCCATCCACGCACTACATTTAGCAAAGAAAGGTGTTGAGTTTAGTTTTTTTTTTTTAATCCCAGGGTAGTATATCTTCAGTTTCTGCGAGGGGAAAGAGCTCGACAAAGGGGAGTAGCTAGAACTTTGCTTGCTATTCACTTTGCTATCTTGCTCGCTTTGAGAAAGATACAAAAATAAACGTATCAACACCTTGTGTCTTTTTTTGCCAATTTCCTGCATCCCTCAGCTGTCGGAAGCAAGAGACGCGACCCTGAAAAGCGTGACTCGTACCCTTCAGTGCCGGGAGTTAAAGGGCGACGACCCACCGTCTCCAGAACTCGTCAAGAAAATGGAGCAGGTAGCTAGCTATGCGCTAACGTTTCCACCCACAACTCACCTCGTGAGCTTTAAAAGCTGAGTTGCAAAATGCGCAGCTAATTCTTCTCCCTGTGTCTGCGTGCGCTCGGAGCTGGAGGCGAACTTGGCCGAGCGCGAGCGTCAGCTGCTGGAGAAGGAACTCCAGGTGGAGCGGGTGACCCGGATGTCGGAGCCGCTGGGCCAGCAGGCGGAGAGCTGCAGGCTCCACAGCCTCTCCGTGGCAAAGAAGGTAGGCCGGTGTTCCTCTGTAAGACGCCATTATCCCGTTAAGAGGGCAGATTTTAATTTAGCACATTTATTCTGCTATAACATTTTTGAATTTATAGCATGGCAGAGAGGAGACTCTAGTCACTATTATGAGACAACTTCTGGGAGAATTTCAGCCCATCTTTTATATCTTTTTGCTGTGTCCAAATAGGAGTTGCTAATTTCACATTTGTACTTGTAAAAAGTTTAGCTATCCTTTCCCTTTTCACAATTATTCACTAATTTCTGTGGATGTATAGCATTAAAGCAACATTTTTTCTTTTAAATTGTTTACAGTATCTCTGCATATGTTTTTTTCCCTGCTTGTTTCCAGCTGAATGAGGCCCGGGCCAAAATCTTCAACATCAACCTCTGTTTGATGGCCGTTTCCGCAGAAGTGTCCATGAAGCAGGCGGTCGCTTTGTCTGAACACCGACAGATGAAAGAGAGAGAGCTGCAGGTCAGGACAGGTCACTCAGTCAGTCCACACTGTGCTTAAGCTTGCAAATTCACACTGCAGTTTTCCTCCGTGTCTTCACTTTAGACCCATATATGCTGCTCGTTTTTAAAAGTAGAGCTACTTTAAGAGGCAAAAAAAAAAAAAACATCTTAATTGGGTTTTAAAGTTTCAACACCGACGGTGGAAAAACAACAGGGCTGAGAAATGAGAGGTGGTTGCATGGAAAGTGAACTCACTGAGGAATAAACATTAATATTTAGCAACTGCACTGCAGCAAGATGTCAATTGCATGGCTAAGTCTGTGTTTTCACATGTGAGCTGGTCGCGCGGTAACGACAGTCGGTGCAATTTGTTTCATTATCCATGTGTCGGTGCAAGGAGTAAAAAAAGGTGGAGGTTAGGAATTGAGCCGGGAGTTCTGTTTTTAGTGACCCTCCTGTAACCATGACGACTGTAAGAATTCCTTTAACATCTGAAAAACAAGCTAAGCATTCGCTGGCTTCGTTTCTGGCTTGTCCTGGGTCTGCGCAGGCTTTAAGCATCGAGTGATGTGGTGAGGTAAGTAGCATCCTTGGTTTTCTGATTGTTTTTGATTTTTTTTTTTTTCCTCACCATTTTCTGTAAACCAGAAATATGGTTATACGTGGAACTCCCAGCGGTTCAGTTGATGCTATACTCAACCACTGCATTTTTGACTTCCTGGCGTCCACCGCTGATTTTTCTTCCCTTCGTTTTCCCGTTGTTGATGTAAACGGTTAACCTTTCAGGCTCTGGTGGGTTCATGTCGCCACTCTTCACCTCTTCCGTCTCCCAGTTTCTCGCTTCCCGGCTGCAGCGCTTTTGGGGTTAAGTGTGTTGGTTTAGGGTTTGGATTGAAAACGTCCACCTTGCGCCTTTCAAATCTCTCTCTCCAGCTCTTTTGACTCATCTTCCTAGAGCTTCCTCCAGGGTTCCAACACAGTCTTGAAATATTTACAGACCGAATGCACACTCATTAAGAAATTAAAAAGACCTTACATAATGTCCTCTACGTTATTTGATTTGAGTAGATGTTTCAGTCATGACTTGACACCTGCTGTTTTTAGAAAAGTGCTGCTCTTCATATGCTAGAAAACAATGAGATGACTTGATTCAGCATTGTGTTGATTCCTAATTTTTTTCTTCCTATTTTGTCTTACCAAGTTACAGATGATGATACATGAATTTTAAAGCACTTAAAGGTTATTATTTTATACGGACGCATCTAGAAACTAAGAAAAGCAAAATAAAATCAGATTTGAGCCTGGAAAAGTATGGATGTGTAGAAATCATCTTTTTTGTTTATTTACTTCACTTCCATTTCTGCTGTCTTAAGCATTTGTGTCTCGACATCACCTTATTACCTTTCGGGGATCTTGAGGCTTTTTAAACTTTGATTTCTCTTATCGCTCTTTCCGAGAGACTTTTCACCCACTGTGAAAAAGCTCCCATCAACGTAATGCATTTAGAAAAGAAAGGTGCTGAGTTTTTATACATTTAATCCCTGGTTACAGGGCGTCTTTAATTTCTGCAGGGGAAATCACCCGACAGATTAAGAAGCATTAAATTCGTATTGCATAAAATGTCAATATGTTGTCTTTAACTCCAATATTCTGCATCCTTCAGCTGTCAGAAGCCAGAGACGAGATGCTGAAAAGCCTCGTTGAGTCCATTGAGTCGGAGGACGAGGCCTCGCCAAATTCAGAACTCGACAATAAAATGGAGCAGGTGCCTGCTAATATTTTCATTTCTAATTTTACCTCATGAACTTTAAAAGACGTGCTGCAAATGTGCAGCTAATTTCTTCCTGTTTTTTTTTTTTATTTGCATGCACGTGAGAAAATTGCAGCTAGTCTTTTATGTCACATGTCAGTGCAAGAAAAAACGGCAGATATTATGAACCACGCTAATGTTTATAGTGACCCCCGTAACCATGACAACTGTAACAATTCCTTTAACATCTGCAAAACAAGCAAAGCATTAATTTGCTTCGTGTCTTATCGTTCTGGGTTTGAGCAGATTTAACCTTTGACTGATGTGGTAAGTTAAGTGTCCTCTGTTTTCTGTTCTATGCTGACAACAAGGGACTCCTATTGTTGTCTGCTTCAAAGTTTGACATGCCATGTGTTTTAAGTTTTTTTGTTTTTATTTTTAACCATTTTATGTAAACCAGAGCTGATTGTACGTGTAAATCCCAGCGTTTCTGAGATACTCAAACCATCTCATCTGCCACCAAACACCAGGTTACATTTGAAGCCATTTTTCCAACCTTTCTGTTGCTTGTGCTGAATGTTAAAAAATCCTTTTCATCCCACCAAGACACCGAAACGTATCCAGTTGCTGACATGTGATTGGCTGATTGATTACTTATTTGTGTGAAGATAGATTTTAGATAAAATGCTGTGAAGTGCATTTTTGACTTCCTGGCGTCCACCGCTGATTTTTCTTCCCTTCGTTTTCCCGTTGTTGATGTAAACGGTTAACCTTTCAGGCTCTGGTGGGTTCATGTCGCCACTCTTCACCTCTTCCGTCTCCCAATTTCTCGCTCCCTGGCTGCAGCGCTTTTGGGGTTAAGTGTGTTGGTTTAGGGCTTGGATTGAAAACGTCCACCTTGCGCCTTTCAAATCTCTCTCTCCAGCTCTTTTGACTCATCTTTGAAGAACTAAGAAAAGCAAAATAAAATGATATGTCAGCCTGGAAAAGTATATTTGTGTAGAAATCATCTTTTCTTTTTTACTTGCTTCACTTCCATATCTGCTGTCTTAAGTGTTTGTGTCTCGACATCACCTTATATCAGAGACTTTTCACCCAGTGTGAAGAAGCTTCCATCAACGCACTACATTTACCAAAGAAAGGTGCTGAGTTTTTATCCATTTAATCCCTGGATAGAAGGCATCTTTAATTTCTGCAGGGGAAATCACCCGACAGAGCAAGTAGCAATAGATCTGTACTGCTTAAAATGTCAATTTGTTGTCTTTAACTCCGATTTTCCGCATCCTTCAGCTGTCAGAATCCAGAGACACGAGGCCAGAAAGCATCAATGAGTCCAACGATTCGGAGGACGAGGCTTCGTCACCTTCAGAACTTCACAGAGAAATGGAGGAGGTGCCTGCTGACGTTTTCATTTCGAATTTTACCTCGTGAACTTTAAAAGACATGCTGCAAATGCACAGCTAATTTCTCCCTGTTCTTGGTGCGCACTCAAAGCTGCCTGAGCGTGAGAGTCAGCAGCAGCCGGAGGGAGAAGGAGCGGAGCAGGAGGTCGGTCCGTCCAAGCCGCTGGTGCAGCAGAGAGAGGTCTCCAGACCCGACGGGCTCGACGGCCTCTCCACGTCATGGAAGGTAGCCTGGACAGAGTGTTATTCAAATCAAGTTCTGAATCTTTTAATAACCCAGCAAATGTTTGAAGCTCAGACTGTTATTTGGTCCAAACTCAAAGTTTTTTAATTTTAATTTGAGTATCCAAACTGACATTATTCTTAAAATGTTGAAAAGCAGCTTATGTGCCGCCTCTACTAAAAGGTGGAGAGTGAAGTAAGAAAATAAAATGTAGACAAATTTCCAAACTTTTACTACTCGCCAAAATATTTGAAAGCCTTGTCAATTCTCCTAAATCCAAAGACATTGAAATTCAAGAGCATCCCACAAGTTCATTCTCAAAACTTGGAGCATAAAAGCATTTGGACGTCGGCAAGAAAAAAAAAAGTCAGTGTCCGTGTACAAATATTTGGCCATATGGATTTATGACCGCCTTCTTCCTTCCCCCCCATATGGAACATCTGTTACAAAAGCCCAAATCTGTTCCTCTCTTCTTACATCGGCACAAATCTCGTCTCGAGCTGTTTGGGAGGAAAAATCTGGTACAAACAAACAACTTCCCTGACTGCGTTGAACTATAGTGACATTATCTACGTGAAAGAAGGTCCCTCCAGTCCTCCATTGTCTGAATTCAATATGTCAAAGTGCTTTCACTGCAAATGCTGCCTTCAGGACACATCATGCGCCTTATGCTTTCCTCCCATGGCCTTCACTAAAACAAAGGGAGCAACAGCACTGGCTTGTATTTATTTATAAGGCTGCCCTGCTGGCGAGCGACCTGCCGCCATATTTGTTTTGTTTTTGTCTCGTGTCTCCAGTCAGAAACCTTCATCGTGTCAGCTTCTGTTCTGATCCGAACTCGGTAGGAGAAAAGAAAAGCTTTCTCTTGGTTCTGGAGTAATCTGCAAAAATCGCATTAAAACTCCCATGGATTGCTTTTAAATTTAGTGAAATCTTAATCTTATGCTCTAATCTTATTGGGTTTTTCCCCACTTGACCTTGAGTAAATTTCATGACATTTTAATTGTATCTTTTCATTATTTTTGCACCAGTGTGCCTCTTGACCAACTCTCCCTCATTGGAGAATTATCTCAATGAACTTCCTGGTTAAATAATGGTTGAATGGAATAAATAAATAAATAACATTACACTGTTAACATTTTTAAATTTCTAATGTAGAACTCGGTGCTTTGCGATTCTGTGTGTGGAGTATTACCAGCCTACTTTTAGGAAAATTGCCGCTAGTCTTTTATCTGTCTTTTGCTCCGTCAGTATTTCTCACCCCTGTCACCGACTCATCAAAAGCGCAACATAAAAGATGGATGTGGTCCACATGACATCCCTTCTTTTTCTTTTCTTTTTTTTTTTTTTAGTTTTTTGACAGCCACTTTGAAGCTTAACATTAAGCTGTCATCATCTGAGAGAACACGAGCAAAGCGACTGCAGCACCCTTCTGTTGTATTTTGTTTACTCTATGGAGATTTGCAAAAATGCTCAAACCCCTCTCCCCACATTTTTTGGCACATTAAAACGAAAATCCTTGGGGGTATTTTTGGGGATTTTATGTGAACAACTATTGCAAACTACTGAGATTTTTGTTTGAAGCTTGACACAAAGTGAAATATCTGAAGGCCACGTATCGTTTTGATAGAGCGATGGCCTTCCTTTCCAGTAAGATGGGAATAATACAAACTATTTTGAAAAGCACATGTGGGATTTGGCACTTGCCTAAACCCTGAAAGTATTTTTATCGCCTCATTTCCAGCAGATTTGTGTCTGGATGAACATCAGTAACATTAACAATTAAAAAAAAAAAAGAAAAGTTATGGCCGATCTTGTAGCGCTTTACCGTAAAGCAGGCGGCCAGTTTGTTCAAACATTAAAAGACCCAAACGGAGAGGCGGTCAGGTCAGACGAGGTTCCAGTCCGTCACGGCGCTACTATTTGTAAATGTGTAAAGTAAGCTTTAATAAAATGAAACCGTCCATGTTAACATCCTGTGCATGTGTTCTCCCTGAGATACTTTCACATTAACAGGCACTTAAACTAAAGTTATGGCTGACATTTAATCCGGAGCCCACATTTCTGGTTTTGATGTTCCAAATATCACTAACTTTAAACTGCTTAAACTCTGTTACATATTTGTATTTAAAGAACTATGTTCTCTGCTTTATACAGAAATTGTAAATTTCAAGCCGTGTTTGCTTTTTTTTTTTTTTTTGCCTCCTATAAATATTTCATCAAGTAAAACATTTTTTTTTTTTTTTCCTGTGGATTCCCTACATGCACTGTAAATATTTCAAGAGGTTTGTGTTAATACCCCGTTGAATCGCTGGGGCTGATGCATGCCTGCAGCACGCCACTTGATCCCTGAGGTAAAAGACGGAGAGGTGCAACGCTGCCCGCATCCCGGTACCAAAGCAACCATCTTCTTTTGGCTTTGGCCAAATGCTGAATTGAGCCATGACACTGCAAGCTCGGTGAAACTGATGCAAAATGGACGTTTCCTGCCCTGCTCTTGTGTTTTTATTTTATTTATATATACATTATATACTTTTTTTTTTTTTTTTTTGGGGCCAAAGGTGCTGTGGTGGTTTGACAAAGAGGAGGCCGGGAGGAGGTTGGAACGAGACAGGAGGCTGAGGCAGAGGGCAAGAGAAGAGAAAAAGAGGGTAAGCGATCAAGTGTTAAAAATTCACATGACGCACTTTAGAGCAAACAGAGTATCATGGAGATGGTAGGCAAATTTATATGTGAAAAGTTGTGTCTTTAAAGGAAATGCGCAGAAAAATAAAATTCAGGCAAGAAGGCTGAAATGTGTATCAAAGCTTTTCTCAAAAAATCAAACAAAGCTCCTAGAATAAAATAAACTGCAAGCACAAGGCTAAAAAATTACAATTAAACGACTCCTACGGAAAAAAGAAGCTACGTTGGCTCATTTTTAATCGTTTTAGACCTAAAGCCTTTCTTTGCTGCTTTGTGTGCAAACAGCAATTAAAGCACTTATGTTTTGTGAGATTTAACAGCAGTTTATCTGCCTGCTGCTGTGAGCTGGAAATCGAGGAAAATGACAAAAAGGAATGGACACGGGGGGTTTTTTCCCCCTCCTTCTGTCTTTCCACTCAGCGGAGTCCACCATGGTTAGACATCGATCCATCACCCACATCGGGTTCAGATCGATTGAGCCCACCACTGTCTGTGTTCTGTGGACCAATATCGACTTCATTAGAGCCAGAAACAACTTCTCCTGTCTCAGTTAAAATAAACTCGAGCCCATATATATTATAAATACTGCAATTTTCAAGTCAAAATGTTCCTTTAGTAAGATTTTGGACAAATATAAATTAACCTCTGCTCGTCAGTATGAATTAAAATAAAACATTAAAACATAATTAGCAAGATGTCATGCTTCAATTGTTTGCTGTGTGTTCTTTGACTTTATATTTTTGTGTTTTTATGATGTAAAGCACTTCGAATTGCTTTATTGCTGAAATGTGCTAAAAAAAAAAAACAAACTTGATTGACTAAATTAAGAAATTACAAATAATTTCATTAAAGCATTGTAATGAGAAAAAAAAATTGCCGATTCTGAATGACCAAGTAAGTCTACTTTTTTTTTTTTTTTACTTTTGCGAACTGCTTGTGCTTCCTCTGATGAGATGTAGCCCTGGGCAGTCAGCCATCTGGGGGGAAAAAAAACATAAAAACCAAAACTGGATAGTTAAAATTATCTCATGTCTTTCTTTTTTGGCCAAGCCAGTACATAATCATTTTAGATTCATTTCATTGGCCTTTTTAGTGTTTTATGTCTGTATTTAAACCTCATTGAACTCCATTTATTGCTGCATCATTCCAACTTCCACATTGCTTGGTTGTCTTTACTTCAATCTGGTTGATTTATTGTCCTTTTTCTAGTTTCTTCTCTTGATTTTCCAAAAGCAGAACCCAATAGTCCCTTGAAATAAAGCTCACATACTTGCTAAATTATATGACAATCACACAGCCACGTTTAACTCGGTCCAGTCCAGAGCTGGCCCTGGTCCAGAGCTACAGACAATTTTAGTTGCAATGCCAATAAATGGTTGCAGCTGCTTCAAATGCCTCCACACCAGCTGTCTACTTGACCAAGGGGGCGACCAGCACCACAGATGATCTGTTTCTGCTAGTTTGAATTACCAGGATGGCTCGTGCATCCAGTAAAAAGCCATTAGTGTTTGCTTGGGGAAGATTTTTGGCCAGGAATCCGCCTGACTTTCTCTGGCTCCTTTCCCATTAAACAAAAGACCTACACTCAACAGAACCGTCACCGTTACCTCCAACTTTGTTCGTCCTCATTATTTTCAGCTCAAGCACTCAACTGTTTGCTCTTTTCTTCTGGAGTTCCATAAAAAATGTACTGCTTGTTGCGTCCTTTTTCCATTTCCATGATTAAGATTCAGGAAGGTCTGGATTTAAGTATTTAATTCAAGGTCATGCAATCTCGCATGAAATATTAAAAGTGCTTCTGGTGTGTGGTTCTCTCTCTGTGCGTGTGTGTGTGTAGCTTGCTGAGGAAAATAAGTGGAGGCAGCTGCCAAGCGGAGTGTACACCACAGCCGAAGCTCGCCCCAACGCGTACATCCCCCTGGACGACCCCCTCGGTCTGCCCGTACCCTTCGGACGCTTCGCGCCCATCAAACCGCGCCCACAGGGGGCCTACATGAGGCATTATCGCAATCTGACAGTGAAATCTTGGAACTTTTAGAGAAAAGAAAAAAAAAAAAAGAATCTTGGCAACATTTAAATTTCTCTTGTCTTCTTTCAGTTTCACCGGTATTCCTTCGTTCCCATATCTTTTCTGGAAGTGTTTGATGTGAAAGCGAAAGTATGACATCGAGTGTTTTGTTAGTACAATGTCTCCCTGTGTGATTTCACAATCGCCACACTGCCTAGCAACACATCAGCACCGCTCAGACCTCCTCTCCCTCGAAGATGAGATTAATTTCTTAAACTATTCCCACACATTCTTTGTCTTTGTTGTTGTTTCACCCTTCACGGTCGTAATCTTTAAATAAATTGCAACGGTGTCTGTCTGAGCTCCACGAGACGAGCGGGAGAGCCCGTGCGGCGCTCGAAAATGATAAATCTGGAGAGGAAGCAGAAGCAATGAAAGAGCATGAAGAATGACAAAGAGAGAGGAGAATTTAAATGAAGGGGATGGAGAGCTGGAGGAGGCGGAGTTCAAAGTTTGGGGGTGGGAGGGCTTCACACCAAAACATGAAGTTGAGCCTTAAAACAACTAAAAGTCTGCCATAAATAAATCAAATAAATTTGTTAAACCCAGAAATTCCCCCAAATTAACAAGTGGACGCCTCTGATTGATGGCTGGTGAGAGAGTTGATGTATGAGTGTGTGGAAAGAGAAGATGTGCAGGAGGAAAAGTCCTGAAACAGCTGGTGTGCACCATGTCAACCCTGAGTGGTGCTGCTCGCAGCATGAGTCAACTTCCTAAGAAGAAACCTGTGTGTGTGTGTGTGTGTGTGTGTGTGTGTGTGTGTGTGTGTGTGTTCATCCATTGCAGATTCAGGCTGGAAGCTGTCAGATTAACTTGGCCCCAAACTGTTAGACTGCTACATAACACCGGCAGCATAAGAGTGTGGATGAGACCATTAGATGGAGAAGGACTCGTGTGTTTACACTTAGAGAAAGATTCACATGTATGATTTATGATTTCAGTGTGAAATGTCACAGGAGATTGTTAAAACGCAGAGGGTTGGTCTTTCCGTAAATACGACTTATCTTATGAAATCCCTGCTCCCACTTTCTGACTTCAATGAAAGTCTGCCCAGGCTTTTAAGCTGCATCAGCTTAATGCGTGTGTTTATGTGAACTTGTAGCTTTCTTTTTCTTGTGAGGTCAGACACTAATGTTGGACGAGAAGCCCTGGCTCACAGTGCATGCACTAATTCATCCCATAGGTGTCCCGTTAGGTAAAATTCAGTAGTCTGTGTTAACATTGTCCTTTTGGACCTTCCTTAAAAAACATCATGAAAATCAACATTTACATTCTAGTTTTAATCCAGTTTTATGAGCATGCATGGGCTTAAAATATGAATCTGATTAAAAAGAGTAAAGGAGCTGGTACTTAAAGTAAAACCACTTTAAAAACTGGGAAGATTCAACCAGAAAAAACAAACAAAAAACCCATTTACAACTACCGCTCCCTTTGTGAATTTGTCTAATTCAGGCTCAACCTTGTACAAAAAGTTTGAATTTCTCTCCCCATGTTTACATGTTCTGCTAAAAGGCTGCTGTACAAATCAGACCTGATGTGTGGCAGACCACGTCGAGCCTCTCTGTCTGCGAAGCCTTTTGTCGGCGGGTGATCAAGCTGATGGGACGCAGCTTGAAACACACAGGAGGAGGGGGTACAGAGTGCGCGTGACTTATAAATACAGTTAACGTTCGATGGTCGTAATCATACGACAAAAAAAAAAGTTAGCAGCTACAAGGTCTTAATTCAGATAAAACGGCTTCCTAAAGGCTTTGACTTTTTTGTTTTGTTGATTTGAATATTGTTGAATTTATTTGAATATTGCACATTGCACACATAGTGATCAGTTTCAAGCCTTTATTTTGATAACTTTTGATGTCATCAGTTGGAGCACTAGCTGATAACATGCCAGCATTTACTTCAAAGCCCCTCTGAGATGAGCGGGCATTGCTATGGCTTGTCCAGCGTTCTCTCTCATACTTTTTTCTTCCACTCAACTTTCCATTCGTGTGCTCGGATACAACCAGCTTCTTATTGACTGCAATGGATATAGAGTGTCAGTGGACAACTGTCGAGAGAGCAGTCTTCCCGGTGTTTGTCGCATTATCCCGCATCGTAATCAGAAATCAGACACGCAGAAAGTGCTAAAAAGATTTTATTGTGAAATTTATATATATATTTTGTTTCATGTGTTTTACATAGACACCATGTACTCCAGCAGTGTACAACTGTTAGGATAAACAGAGATTTGGGTGAAGACATTTCAGTTGATTCCAAAAAGACTTTTTTTAGAGCTTTCAATGATATTTGGATTTAAAAAATATATTCTCAGTAATAAATTTTTTTTGGTATCCTCCACTGTAAGCCATAATAAAATGATTAGAAATAAATAGTTGAATTATGTGTGTGTGTGTGTGTAAGTCTACATACACTTTTTAAATGGAACTGAAATAATATAACTTTACAATTATATTCTGAAGTATTAAGATGCATCTTTGTTGCAGTTCTTTCTTTTGTGAATTGCACTAACATTCTCCCTATAATCCCTCTGTTCCCCACAATAATTTTTCATTTAACAGCACGATCCTGTTCATGACTTCTCCACTCGACTCTCATTTTCCAACATCAATCCATTTCATGCCGTCAAGGCCCAGTTAGACATTTACTCTTCCTTAAACCGATTTTCCTCCTCATCTATTCTTCTCTCTCTCTCTCGCTCTCTCTCCATCCGTCTCGCGTCCTTCATCGCCCTTCCAGCCGCTTCATTTTTCCTCGAAGCCCAGCTGGATCAGCGTCTGCATCAGAGCCGACTCCTCCACAAACCTGGCGTCCACGTTTTCCTTCTCCTCGAAAGGGTTCAGAGCTGTTCAGGAGTTAAGACGGGAATCAATGACATCGTCACTTCCTGCTCCTAAAGCTTCTTTAAAGGCCTTCCCTGCAGGATATAGAGGTATACTCTACCTTGTGACTCGATATCAGAGAGCATTTTTGCCAGATAGGTTAGAGGAAGAAACTCTGGTCTGAAGCCGGGCTTGTCCTGCCCAGCAAATACAAATCCCTGAGGAGAAAGATTAAAACAAAATAGATAGAAATTTTTTCGTAAGATACAAATTCAGACATATCAGCAGCACCTGAGCGAATTCCCCTAAACTGGTCTTGCAAATAAAATTGGCTCCTGATATGTCACTACTTTGCTATGAGACATTCTACAGGAAATGCATCACACAGTTTTTTCCATGTTACCTTATTCTTGCTCTGTTTCTCCAGCAGCGCCTTGACATAATCTCTGGAGATTGAGGCTGAGCTGACAGGATGATCCCACATATGGTAGATCCTTTGCTCCATAGGCTACACACACACACACACACACACACACACACACACACAAAAAACACTTTACATTTTAGGCATGTAGCTCACGCTTTCTACAGAAACGGAGGGAGAAAGAGAGATTCCCCGAAGGCTGTGAACAGCTGTCCCTTTCTATTCCACCAAATGGAAAGCGGCGGCATTATCGAAGGGTGGACTGCTAATGAGGGGTCTTGGGGAATTTGTACTATTTTTAGGGTTTCAAATAAAAAAAGGCACAACAGCCATAAATCACACAAAAAAGGGGGAACTACAGTAGGATGATTACTTATTCTTCTTCAGCACACTAGCAAAGACTTTAACAAAAAGTTATCCATTTAACTCAAATGTATTTATTTTCAGCTCTTCCACTTTTAACATTTGATTTTCTCTTCAAGTTTTAGAACATTGTTACCAGATTTAATATTAACGTTTAGTTACATAAAAGTTTCATTATGTCATTTAGATTTTTAAAGTAAGCCTCCACCTATATTTTTGAAGTTAGAACAGGTCTGTCTCTACAGTGCGTTGTTTTGTGTTTTGTTGTTCTGGTTTACATTATCCATTCACTCCAGTCATTTGTCCCAAGTGCCTTTCCTGGTCTCCTAACAGCTGTTTCTCATTAGTTAATCAGTACACCTGCTACTGATTCAATAATCACACTTCTCTAATGACATTAAGCTTTTTGAGTTTGGTCTAATTTGGTTGCCTTTGATCTACTTCGCCTCTTCCTTACCACCATTATATCGGGCTTTGTCAGAGCTAAAGCCCACCTTGTTGTAAATATCCGGACACCGTTTCAAAACTAATTTGACCCTCGTCAAAAGTTACGTTTCAGTGATTTTATTCATTCATTTCTATCATTCAGTTGTATTTCTTTTAGATTTTTTTAGAATAATGCGACATCAATAATTGAGCATCAAGTTTCCAGAACAGTCCTTCCCATGTTGTGTAGAAGTTCCTCCAAACTAACGTTTTCTGTTGCGAAGTCCTTTTAGTCTGAGGTAGCAAATGGCTAAGTTCACCCTAACATTTGCTAACTTCTTCCTTGCACATTTCCTCACTTTTGCCGGTAGTAGAAATGAATGGTTCAGTCAGTTTGACCTTTTTTTAAAAAAAAAAAAAAAAAAGTTACACATTTGTATTGGACGTTGTATTAGCTGGCTGAGTTTCTCACAGTGCAAAACCTCGACAGTGGAGAAATAAATGCCTCCTTTGCCTCAGATGTGTGAGGCTGTGTCTGAGTTTCTGCTGCCTACCAAACTCGCTCAACAAAAGTCTGACGGACAGGAAATGCACCAGAGATGCAAAACACTCGACATTCCTCCAATCACGTTGTGGATGAAACGCACACAGAGAAGCACATGGAAGTTACACAAGAGTCTGAACACGGAGTCACCGCAGTCTCCAGAAAGCCTTTCTCAGTCTGAACACTAAGTGGTTACACAAATATTGTGAGACATCTTTGAGGAAAATGAGATCTTAGTTAGTTTGGGAGAAGGAAACTCTCAACTTCCTGTTTAGACTCTTTAATCTGAACATAAAGTTTGATTAGTTACTTCCTAAACTAATCAAAAACCTTAATGATTAATTTGATCACACATCAGTACCTCAGGAAGTCTCTTAAGTACGCCGAATTTCAGTCGCTCGTTGGCTTCACTGTTGTCCAAATCTAAACAAAAAGGAAGAAATTATTAATGAATTTGTTGAGAATCGAAACAAAATCACAAACATTGAAAAGAAGAAAAAAAAAGTTGGCTAAAATTAAACTGGTTAAAGATTTAAAATCACTAAAAATTTTAATCCAATATGAAAACACCCACGTACAACGTAGGTAGTGCTGATGTAAATAACAGTAAATACGTTCTGGGATAAATTATGTCTAAAGACGTTTCAGGACCACTTGACTGAAATCCAGTCTTTTGACTTTCGGAGCTGAATCAAAAAGTAAAGATGCAAAGTGCTGTTTTGTTTTCTACGTCAATATAATTTGTAACCTATCTGTCCTGTTGCTATGGCAAGACTCAGACATAGTGAGAATTGTAATCTGAGGGAAACCACTTTAGTTGGTCGTACATAATTCAAATACTTGAATTATTAACTGTCTGTCTGGAAATCGGATTTCAATTATTTAAATTGCTTAAAATAACGGTAACAGGGTCACCTATGTCCCATCTGAAGACAACCCTGACATGAGAGCACAATGTGCTGTTGCACATTGCTTCATCAGCTGGTAGGTATCAAAGTTTGGCAAAAGAAAACAGAGGAAGACTCACAAATATAATTTAACTCGAGTTAAAGTTCTGGATCAGGTTGGTGAATGATGCACTAAACAAGTGTGCATGAAAAGCATTTAATATACTAGTAGTTTTTAGTTTTCTTAAATGAAATGTATATCTTACAGCGTGCCTTTTAACAAGACCTGCTTTTGTGGTCACCTGCTTCGTCGGGTCTCTTGGTTTTCAGAGGAAATTCAGAAAGTAGAATAAGCCAGGTGGCTGTGGTTGACCAAAGCATCAACAGGTGTTTAGAGTGTCAACAAGAGAAAAACCTGCTGATGTGAAAGTACAAGTTTTAGTAAACCGACAAACTGAATGAAACGGAAATATCCCAGCAACACCTGTAAGTTTTCTTCATACCGAGATTAAACCACAATAAGACGACAGTCTGAAGTCGCGCAAACATGAAGACACCAGAAACTTACGTTTAAAAACTTGTAAAGATCTGCACGCTGTTGAGCATCTCACCATCTTTCTGAAAGAGCAGCTCTCAACTGGACGACGACAGTAACATACTCCCCCAAATTAGGTGTTGTTGGCTTCTGACGTTCAAAGGTAACAACATGGGGAAGATGAAAAGACGATTTCAACATGACTATTTGTGCCTGAGGTACCAGAATCATCACCTGAAGCTCGTTCTAGGTGTTCTAAAGAAAACCTTCGTTGTTGTGACAGTAAAGTAATGCTGTGTCTTATGCAAACTGTAGTTGCATAACCAAAATCAGGCCCCTGTAATCAATAAATGCTGTCCTGAATTACATACCAAGACCACAAACCACTAGTGCGACACCTTCTGCAGAATAAGTTAATGCCCTTCCTAGACGATACGACGCATTAGCTCAACCGTAGCCTGACAACAGAGACGGCTCTGTAGCTTCTTCGTTTCTTTTCTCTTCCACAACGGCCTGTGTCACTGAAACGCCGTTTTCCTTCTCAAACGCCAACCGCTCCACCTCTGGAATGTCTCTGTTCTCCAGCAATCCGTCGTACGTCGCCGCCGCCGTGATCGCAGTGCTCAGCTGCCTTCTGGGAATCCCGACCAACATCCTCGTGATCGTGAAACTCAGCAGCCACCTGCGAGGCTCCTCCATGACGAAGCGCCTCATCTTCAACCTGGCTCTGTCGGACCTGCTCTCGCTGTTCTGCTTGGTGATCGCCGGGGCCATTTTTGCCACCGGGCCCCATTTGGCGCATGGACTGTGTCAGCTTTTCTTTTTCATCATCTTATTCTGCATCACCTCCAACTCCAACATCCTGCTGCTGATAAGCGTTCAACGTTACTACCAGGTACGCAACTCCAAACTTTACCGTTGTAGGAAAACGAACATATTTAGCAGTACTAACGCGCGCCGTTACTGCAAAACTAAGAAATAATTATTTTCAGTCTGCCGTACTTGGAGAAATATAGGTAACCACACTGCTTGTACTTTTACTTCAGAAGATAAGTAAAATAAATGCACCCTGAATAGTGTGTGTAAGTAGATGGCTAAAGCTATTTTTTCCTTCCCAGATTCTTCATCATACCAAGTGGAAAAAAGTGACCCGAGCATGGCAGCGGGTTTTACTCTGCGGTGTGTGGATACTCGGGGCCCTGCTGCCTCTCCCACTGGTGCTGTCTCTGATGGATAAGAACAGCGAAGACGCCGACAAGACGTCCTGTAGGAACAAAATGATCACACCGCAAGCCGAGGTGGTCCACGTCGCCGTAGCGATATCCGCTCAACTTGTGGTGCTGGTGTTTTACGTAAAGCTTGTGAGAGGCGTCAGGAAGGTTCAGATGTCTGACAGGAAGAAACAAAAGATCAACAGGCTGTTCACTCGGATCCTTGCCGTCTCTCTAATAGACTTTTTGCCTTTGTTTGCTCGACTTGTGGCCGTTGCCGCCCATTTTAGACCTTCAGAGACGTTGACTGAAGTCAGCAGGAATCTGACGTCTATCGAGTATTTGTACTTTTTAAACCACTGCCTGAACCCCCTGCTGTATTTCTTTGCTTCTCGGCATCAGCTAAGAGACAGAGAGAAAAAGAGAAAGCTCTTTCTCATGGCTCTCAATGACAGTTCTTAACAAGATCTTTGGATATCTGTGCTACGCTATTTAACCTTTTGCACATTTTTAATTTATAATGAGGTATTAACACTGTTAAAAAAAATCCCAATGGCATATAGATAATGACTTTTTTGTGAATTTATCTACCATTTTTTTTGGTAAAGACATGTTTTACTATTAAATATGTTTGAAGGCTGGACATGCATTCTGTATTTTCTTTCTTTGCTTATTCCGTGTGTTTCCCAAAAATGTCAAATCCCAGAAATAGTTGAACATTTACTTTAAAGTCCCCTTGCCAGCACCCTAATTGTGAGTTACCTTCGTTTTATTCTCCGTTAGAATCAGATTCTGGCTTTTGTCATTCTGAAAAGTGACTTTCAGTGGAAAAAAAAAAAGTTGGTAAAATTAAATCTTTAAACCTAAATCTACTGAT